GCTAACCCATGTGCATAAATGTCGTATACTTGCACACTTTTTTGTTTGTAGCTCGTGGACTTGTGGGTGCATTATGATGGGAGAACACTCGCACACCTACAAGTGTGTGTGTGTGACATGCATACACTTGGCTTCCATGATCGTGGTCTTTGTTCTGTTTCATGTGCGGCCTACTGTGTGCATTAGAATGGTACCTACCCCTCTCTTTTGGAGTCCCACATTGTCTGGTGTGTTGTTGATACACGTTGCCCTCCTGTCGTATCATCATTTTCATATTATCAATATCGAGCTAATTTTCTGTGCACTAATACATTTTTGAATATCTTTCCAGGTCAGAGCGGTGAATTCAACTCCAGAAAATCCAAGGCAATCCAAGTGTGACCAAGTGGACATCGTTAGAAATCTCCAGCAGTCCTCTGATGGTTAACATCCGACTGCTCTTGTGGTTATTCGGTGAGTACATGGTTAACGTGCACACCTTCCTCCCTTTCCTCTTCGTAGTATTCGATTTTGATTGGAGGTCCACTGTTAAAAATATTTTTGTAAACTCTTAACATACTTTGTATTTTTTAGTTACAAAGTATGTTTTAAATTTACGACTGTCAATTTTTGTTCTTGGACGAATTCCAAGTCGATACAAGGCACTTCTTACTTTAGAAAATTTCAATTTTACAACACCCATTAGGAAACTGTTCCCGAGATTTTTACCAATATTTTTCACAGTGTCTTAATATCAGAAGTACTATAGTGAAGCGTGTTTTCTTGACGTTGTGTAGTTGGTGCTTGACGTTTCGAGCACTTAGTTTGACGGCCAAAGTATGAGGGGCTTTAGGAGGGAGAGGGGGGGAAATGCATTTGTCCCTTGATTATTGTTTGATTCATGTACACGGGGACTGCCACCCCCTAGCTCTTTTGCTGTTGAGTATTTAGAGCGCTCAGTTCAAAGGGGTTGATGTAACAAGGACAGTGCCTGAGAGAGGGGTACTTCGACGAATTCCAAGTCGATACAAGGCACTTCTTACATTAGAGAATTTTAATTTTACAACATCCATTAGGAAACTGTTCCCGAGATTTTTACCAATATTTTTCACAGTGTCTTAATATCAGAAGTACCATAGTGAAGCGTGTTTTCTTGACGTTGTGTAGTTGGTGCTTGACGTTTCGAGCACTTAGTTTGACGGCAAAAGTATGAGGGGATTTAGGAGGGAGAGGGAGGGGGGGTGGGAAGCATTTGTCCCTTGATTATTGTTTGATTCTTGTGCACGGGGACTGCCACCCCCTAGCCCCTGTGTTGTTTAGTATTTAGAGCGCTGAGTCCGAAGGGGTTGATGTAACAAGGACAGTGCCTGAGAGAGGGGTAGGTTGGGTGTTGGGGCGGGGCTAGGAGAAGGCGGGCAATTTAGGCCAGGGGAAGAAATCCCTTAAACTTCCTCCAGAACTTGTCACGTTCGAATTTGGTATAGGGTATTCCAATGGAGCGCGGAGCGGAAGCAAGAAGAACAAAAACGGAACGGGGAAAGGCGCCCGCCCGAGTGGAACTGCGGATCGAGAGACCGTCACATCCTCGTCCCCTCGCGGTGAGCACAGCGCGTCAACTTGCTAGCGAGCCGGCCACCTCCACGCGGCCTCCTCCTAACGAAAGTGTGACGACAAAGTTACCACCGCCAAATTCCCAACTCGTTACTTGACGGTCGCCTTCTCGTCACACAGTCGCCACTACGTTAGTCGCAGAGCTGTCGCACTTCGAGTGCACTGTCGCCACCTTGTCGTCACTTACTCGCCACAGGAACTCCCTCGCCGCGCTCCCCGGGGGAATTCCCCGGAGCGCGGGGAGGTCATTATGTCGTCCTCTAGCTGTGACGAGATGGTGACCTCGCGGAGCTCCCCCGCGGCCCCGCGCGCAAACTCGCCGGGACACACAGTCGTCACCATCTGGTCCCCGAAGGATGACCACGGCGTGACCACGGAGCCTGCCCCGCCCGGGCTGCGCTGTAGGGGCCGTCGCGTTTCTCATACCGATTACAAGGGCAGGTCAAGCGGGGGGTACCGGCAATTTACCCCCCCCCCCCCCTCGCGGACGCGCCCAGGACGCGCCCCCCGCGGGTCGTGCTCACCTGCTCCTGCTTGTCGAGGACACGTTTTCTGATTCGGGTGGCGAGAGGAATGGAATGCACAGCTCAGATCAAGATTTTATTTCCAGTCAATTATCTTTTAAAAAAAAATATGCTTCAATTCATTAAAATGAAGGATTGTAGAAATAAATCAAGGAAAGAAGGACAAAGAAAAAAATGACTAGACAATTTTCTAGGAACTAAACAGAAAACTTAACACAAATAAACTAGGTTGAGACAATTTGCACTAATTGAGCGCCTGGTGGAAGAGGACCCACCCCTGGGGGCAAAAATTGGTCGTCCTCGATTTCAATTTGAATTTCGTCCACACCAGTGCCAGTGTCTGTTTCTGTGGTATGGGCCACTGCAGGACTCAGCCAGATGCCATCGGTTTCATTAACATTAGCAGTAGTTTCCATTTCTTCATCTTCAGTCACCTGCCCATCCGGGACATTCTCAGCAGATAGACCTAGTATAACAGGAGAAAACAGAATAATGATAATAATAATAACAATAATAGAAGGGATAGTAATCAGAATTGAGGTCCATACTTACATTGCTTGTCCTTTCGTGCATGTGTCAAGTGGGTTCTAAGAATATATGTTGGCTCAAAGTCCACAGTCCCTTCCGAACAATTTAACGTGCAATATCCTACAACAAGAAATGATTTAAAAATTAATGAGTAGTGACATGCACTTTCAAAAAAATAAAGGAGTCAATTTAAAATTAAAATACTTACCATAAGCAGATGTAGGGATGTCTATCGAGACCATAACCTTCCCTCTGTGCTTGGCTCCCCGTTCTGTGCAACAGAGTCCCGGATGAGTGACCAAGTTGCCCAGGCACAGGTCCACAATTTTCGTGAACAGGGTTTTGGGGGCATGTGAGTAATCACCCTTTAGATAATTTAGGGTGGCCCCATTCAAATATACTCTACTCCCATTCACCACTGGCATCTGAAATATTATTTTAAAGGATTAGACATGCAAATTTATTCAAAAGGAATTTTCATCACAGGTAAAACAATGAGGCAATTTTCCATGGTTTGCTTACATCACCAGGCTCCATTTTCCAGCATTGCAGATTGTCCATTTTCTCCTGCAAAGCTTCTTTTTCTGCTGGCTGCAGGCGCTTGGGTAGGCGGCAAACTTTTTTTTTTGGTGGGACAGCAGGGACTTGATCTGAAAAAATTCACATATAACTATAAATTTTCTAGGCATACATGAAAACTGCAGAAATTTTAACTCTGACACATACCTCCATCCGCAATACTTTGAGCCATGTCTTGAAGGTGTCGCTCTCGTTGGGCAGGACCAGAGTCTGCCTTTGCCCTCTGTCTTTCCTTGTGGATTGATTGTACGGCATAAGGAGGAGGTGGGTCTCCAGGCTGGTAGACTTTTCCATGCTCATCTACCTTCAGTTTGTCTAGTTTCGCCTTTGCACCTAAGGAGGAAGTAAGAAAAAAAAACATAGAGTGACAAAACAAGAAATAAAGTATTCACGATTTGCACAAAATTTTTGCACTTACCAACGGCGAGGACCTGAACAGAGAACACCTCTCGTGATCTCCCGGGTTTCACGTCTACCTTGGCACCAACTTTCAAGGCCGCACCTGCCCTTTGTCCACCACGCCTTTGCCCTTGCAGAAGCACAACGTCCTCGCGGTAGACGTTGGCGGCAGGCGGCTTTGCGTGGAAGCCCAAGAAGTAGATGAATTGGACAGAACGCACCATGGTTGTCGCTCGTAGATCCTGAGGGCACGGCACACACACATTACGATTACAATCAGAGTCAGCAAATATTAACCGAAAATATAATTTAACGTAGGGTTTGAACGCTAGAAACTATTCAAGACAGTAAACATATTACAATAACAACAAAATTACTCCCTAAAATCATGTTTTTACACTCACGGAACAGTAGAGGCACACAGGTAGAACAGGTGCCGGACCGGAAATGTGCTCAACTTTAAAATGTAAACATTGCTGGCGTGCAGAATTTCCGTATTTCCCCACATGCACAGAGTACCATCACTTAGGTTAAAATTTTAAAACTCACCTGTGTTTTTTGTGGAAGATGAAGGGTTTTTTTAGAACTATAAAATTTAATAGTATCTTCGTTATAGTTTCACGGGAAACTCGGACTGATTTGTATTGGTTGCAACCAGCCGGGCCCGCGGGTCGGGTGTCGGGTGCGTGTTGGCGGTGCTGAGCTGAGTCCCGTCCCTGCGGACCTTGGGGCTGCGGCCGTGCCTCGCTGTGTTGTTGTTTTGTACCGGGAGAAGTTGCGGACCGCACTTTTATTCCTAACATTACATTACCCCACCAAAATGCAACGTGACGACGAATCAAGGCGCGGACCGAAAAGGCCTGCCCCGTCCACGGAGTCGCCTCCCCGGTAAGTTCTGATGCTATCACGAAATGAATTTCAAGCGCTCTGCTAGGCCAGCTTTGCTGTGATTGACGTACACCTTATAACCTTGCCCAAACGTCGATTCTTAAACCGTAATAATTGTCAATGGACAGCCAGCACGAGGTCGGCCTTTGCTCCTATTCTTTCGCTTGTTTTGGAATTGGTGAAATAACGAAATTTGTGTCATGGTTGTACGAGTCGCGAGAGGCAGCGAACCTAACCTAACACTTTTGAAGTCCTCCCCAGCCAATCTAAATCTGAACAACAACTTTGATTATTTTGATTTACAGTGATGACGATGAACATCGCCCAGGTGTCCAACCAGAGGTAATGGATCCTCTGGCTCGAGCGCAACTCCGTAACTTCCCTTCCACGGGCTTCCAAGGTGCAAAAGGTTTCACATCTCAACCAACAGATTTCAGCCCTAAGACCTTCATTTCAGGTGTGTGTCCCCTCCCAACAAGCAAGTGTCATACCACTATTGACCTAAAACCTTAAAGCTTATCACATAGTATATGTAATTTTTAAATTTTAACTTGAATCCATGTTGTCACAGGTGAATTCCAAGGTCTAAATTTTGAACGAGTGGAAGCAAAATTTACTGCGGGAAGTGAGTTTGCAAGCCAGAGTACTGGTCAATTCGCATCAACACCAGCTACATTTGATGCCACTAGCCATCCGTCAACATCTCATGAGCATGAGGAATTGATTTTTTCTGACACTCTACAGCATACTGACAAAACCAGGACTGTCGGCCTAGGTAAGTTTAAATTAATAGGTTGTGCAGATTGATGTTTGTTTGCATGCACAGTTAACTCTTATTTGTTTGTTTTTGTTTTGTTCTTTCCAAATTCTGTAGAACAAAGTATATTTAGGATCACTTCTACACCATACGAAAGTATAAATGTTTCTCATTCTGAAGAATTTCACCATGCTATGGCACAAGAAGTTCCAGGTATGTTTCTCTAATTGGATGTGCACAATATTCATATGCACTGTTATTTGTGTCACCTAATAGCCATTTTGTTTTCAGCATTGGGCCAAGAATCCACTATCCCTTTACAAGATACCCATGATTTGTTTTCTGCCCTCTTCCCATCATACTCCAGATATCTACATGGAGGTATGTGTTACTTCATGAAAGTCTCATAAAATTTTGGCACAAGTTGATACTCCCTAGTAAACAGACTGAAAATGATAAAGGTTTTCTCGTGTGCAAAGAGACTTTTCACTTATTTGACAGTACTGAACCAGTTAAGTGTAAGTGAAAATTCTCTCTTTGATTTTGAAGGTTTTGGTGGGATTGGAAGTGAAGATAGTCAGTATGTACAAACCAATGCTGACATGTTTGGACCTACCCCAGATTTTACATTCAAACCTGCTTGCTTTTATCAACCAGAAGAGGACCTAAATGATGAACCAAGTAAACCTACAGACATAGAAATGACAGAGAGTGATCGGATTTATCCTGGAAGTCGCATATCGATACATGAGAGTGTTATGTCCATACTAACCTTTGCCCAGACTGAAAAGTTGACAGGAGCAGCTCTTGGGCGGCTACTGTCACTCATTGATATTCATTGTCCTGCTAAAAATAATTTGGTAAAAAACACTGCTAAATTATACGATCACCTTAAATATCTTAATTCTGATTTTGAACTGTCATACTACTGCAACCTTTGTTGGAGAGCTAAAGAGTCTGCCCATGATTTGTGTGATAAGTGCAAAGATCCTAAAAGAAAGGTTCATTTTTTTGTTCACTTTTCACTTGCTGAGCAGTTAAAAGCACTTTACAAACGACCAGCATTTCTAGAGGCTTTAAAATACCGTCAAACTCGATCCAAAATAAATGAAAATGCAATTGAAGATATTATTGATGGTGAACTCTATCAAGAGGTCCTGAAAGGTTTCCTGTCTGATGTAAATAATTTATCTCTGATGTGGTATACTGATGGCATCCAACTATTCGAAAGCACCTCATTCTCTATTTGGCCTCAATTTTTTGTACTTCTTGAGTTGCCTCCAGAACAAAGATTTAAACCTGAAAACATGTTATTAGCTGGTCTTTGGGGCAGTCAGGACCACCCACACCCCAATGTAGTACTAAGGCACATTGTTAATGATTTAATTACTTTAAGAGAAAAGGTAGTTGAGGTCCAACCTGCTAATAGTAATGAGTTGAAGGTTGTTAAGGTGTGTTGCTTGTGTGGTACTTGTGACAGCCCAGCCAAGTCAGCATTTGCAAATTTAAAGGGTCATGCTGGTTATTACTCTTGCCCTGTTTGTTTTAGTAAAGGTGAAAAGTCAGAAGCAACAGAAAATGTCATGGTTTTTCCCTTTGAAAATGAAGTTTTTCTCAGGTCACTTGAGGGTTACTCTGAGCTTGTGAGTAACTCTGTCAAAGAGTATAAGAAGTCAAAAGATAAAGATGAATCATGCAAAGGTGTTCAAGGGCCTACTTTGCTCTCTTTAATGTTTTATCTCTCAATGTTCAAAAGTTTAGGCATTGATTCCATGCACTGTATATTTATGGGTGTGGTCAAACAAATTTTACATTTGTCATTTGATAGCAAGTTTAACCAGGAGCCATTTTCTCTGCGTGATAAACTTGAAGAAGTCGACTCACTTCTCTCTAACATTCAATTACCTAAATTCGTTCAGAGATTGCCTGTTAGCGTTGATAAGCTTTCGTTCTGGAAAGCATCACTTTGCCTTAATTATTTTTTTCATATGATGTTGCCTGTTATGAAAACTGTCATGAAGCCGGAATATTTTGAACATTTGTTATTACTTGTAGATTCTGTTGCAATTTTAAACTCTTCTAGTATTTCTCTAGATGATATAGAAAAAGCTGATGTGATGCTGGGTAAATTTGTAGAAGATTTCTCAAAATTGTATAAATTACGAAATATGTCACTAAATGTACACTTGTGTCGCCATCTAGCTACTTCTGTAAGAAATTTAGGCCCTCTTTGGGCTACTAGCTGTTTTCCTTTTGAGGATTTTAATGGTAAGTTAATCAACTTAGCCCATGGAACTAGTGATTCTCTTATCCAAATAAGTCGACGGTTTCCCATTTTGACTGGTCTGTCTACAGAAATTGATAAGATGTCTGTAGGTCCTGCCCGAGACTTTTGTGAGCAGCTACTTTTTAAGTGGAAAAGGTACCACATAAAAGAGAGAATTTCTGATCAGTCTTTTGTTGTTGGTTTTTTTGATCAATCTTTAATATACAGCACAGAAATCTCAGAGTTACTGTTAAGTCTTTTAAAATATGAACCAAAGTTTCATACATTTCCAAAACTGTACCATAACAAACAGTTATTTGTTGCCTCATCCTACACAAGAAGTGTCCGAAAGTCCAGTGCTGTTAAATATGTTACCAGTGAAGGTGTCAATTATGGAGATATTTTAACATTTGTTAAAGTTGTAGGGGTTAATTATTTTGCTCTCATTAAAAAATTTTGTGTTGCTCCTTTCAGTTGCACTTCCCCTACTCAGCTCTCATACATATGTAAAGTGGTGGATGTAGCTGGACATGATTTTGTTAATATTAAGGATTTACAATCAGTTTGTTTTTACATCTCTGTTGGTGATACTTGCTACATCAGCAACACTCTAAACCAATTTGAAAGGTTTTAGAAAGTGAATAAAAAAAAATTCAATGACTTGAGATCCTGTGCATTCCATTCCTCTCGCCACCCGAATCAGAAAACGTGTCCTCGACAAGCAGGAGCAGGTGAGCACGACCCGCGGGGGGCCCGTCCTGGGCGCGTCCGCGAGGGGGGGGGGGGGGGTAAATTGCCGGTACCCCCCGCTTGACCTGCCCTTGTAATCGGTATGAGAAACGCGACGGCCCCTACAGCGCAGCCCGGGCGGGGCAGGCTCCGTGGTCACGCCGTGGTCATCCTTCGGGGACCAGATGGTGACGACTGTGTGTCCCGGCGAGTTTGTGCGCGGGGCCGCGGGGGAGCTCCGCGAGGTCACCATCTCGTCACAGCTAGAGGACGACATAATGACCTCCCCGCGCTCCGGGGAATTCCCCCGGGGAGCGCGGCGAGGGAGTTCCTGTGGCGAGTGGGTGACGACAAGGTGGCGACAGTGCACTCGAAGTGCGACAGCTCTGCGACTAACGTAGTGGCGACTGTGTGACGAGAAGGCGACCGTCAAGTAACGAGTTGGGAATTTGGCGGTGGTCACTTTGTCGTCACACTTTCGTTAGAAGGAGGCCGCGTGGAGGTGGCCGGCTCGCTAGCAAGTTGACGCGCTGTGCTCACCGCGAGGGGACGAGGATGTGACGGTCTCTCGATCCGCAGTTCCACTCGGGCG